GCAACTATAATATGATGTTTCTGTTTTGTGCCTAACAGGGGCTTTTGTTGAGGCTGACCCTGTTGAGCCAGCTGTACGACCAACTTCACCAGTCGATGCAGCTACAGTCCTTACATCTCCACCACCCCCAGTGACTCGGGGGGAGGAGGTATAATTTAATTAACTGAGCAAAGCCATTCATTTCCTTATTGAGGCTTTTGACGAATTTCTCTTCTTTGTGTAGGGCTTCCTTCTCAGCTTCATGTCCTCGTTAAGGAGTTGTTATCGGGGAATGACCCTGAGAAGATCATCATCAGCGTAGAAGTCCGCTCTTATTTCTCCTCCCTGACTGCTATAATTGGCAAACTCCTCCACGACGGACTTTCTCTTCGCCAATTTAAGCCCTACCTCGATTCCAAGATAAATTTGATTAGGGACATAGGATGTCCGGATCTGGCGACGGCTATGGTTGATGACCTTGATCGCTTAGAGCGTGAGCTTCAGATGTTTCATGAGCTCCGGGATACAGGTGCCTCTTCATTCGTTGCTGCCGAGTTGGATGCTCGCTTACAGACATGGCGCAGTACTCGGATGGTTGCCGAGCTCGAGATTCAGGTGCAGCGGGGCCGAATAGATCGAGTTGAGGCTGACCTTGCCACTAGATCATCTTCACTTGAGGAGCTTGATTCTCAGATAGATCAGCTCCGACGAGAACTCCGTGATAAGGAAGACGCAAAGATGCAAAATCAGCAAGCACATGCTGCTTTATCTGATGAGATGAAGTCCTTGAAGCAGACACTGGCTGAGACAGAGGAGGTTGCTGTGAGGACTTTAGCCGCGAGCGAAGAGTCTGTCAGAGCTGAGTTGCAGGAGGAGCTTAGACGCTCTTATGATGAGAAGCTGTCTGAATTCAGTCAGCAGGTTCTTAGCCATGGGCTTGATGTATGATTTTATTTGCTGAAAACCTTGACATTTGATTCTCTTTAGTGGACCTGATTTTTGTCTTTTTATCTTTATTATGATTCCTCATTCCATTTGAAATGATTGACCATAATACTCATAGGATTTTTGGCAAACCCTCAGCCATCAACGGGTTTGATTAGCCTTTACCGACTACCGTTTGAGTCGGGCTAGCATGCGGATTGTCGGAATCCGTTCCGCATGTAACGTTGTGCTAAGGGAATGAACTCCCTTAGACTTCGTGCTATGATGTCGAATACATAGACTTCGCCATTGTTACGGGAATAGGCTACCCGGCGACACGTGTTAGGTGTTGACTTTAGGATTTTTGGCTAACCCCCAGCCTTCAACGGGTTTGATTAGCCTTTACCGACTACCGTTTGAGTCGGTAGCAGGCGGATTGTCTAAATCCGTTCGCATGTAACGTTGCGCTAAAGGAATGAACTCCCTTAGACTTTGTGCTATGATGTCGAATACGTAGACTTCGCCATTGTTACAGGAATAGGCTACCCGACAACACATGTGACTATGTCCATGCCCCAAGTCTCGAACGGCCAAGACGTGGTTGACGTGTGCAACTGCTCTGGCGGTTGATGCATATAATTCGCATGTATCTGGCAAGCGTGGCATTCTCGTGCGTATTCGATTGCGTCACGAACCATCGTTGGCCAGAAATATCCCATCCTCCTGATGCGATCATACAGTTTAGGACCGGGCTGATGCGCACCACATTCTCCTTCGTGTGCTTCCTTAAGAACTTCCTTTGCTTCTCTGTTCGAAAGGCATCGGAGCAAAAGACCGTCGTACCCTCTACGGTATAACGTATGGGTCTCGGTATTATAGAAGAATCTTGGAGCTCTTCGGCGGATTGATTCCTTTTCTTTTACATCCTCTGGCAAGATACCATATTGGACGTAGTCGATGATAGGAAAACGCCAATCTCGGGACTCAGACCCAATTTGAGTTGAATTCACCTCTTTGGCGTTCACGTTTCTATCCTCTTCTTCTTCAATCTCCGTACTGTATATGGGTACGCAGAGTTGATGCGTCCGTACTGTGACTAACAGCTCAGCTTCGGGAGGCTGTGCCAGTGATACTGCTAGTGCCGCCAGTGCGTCTGCATAAGCGTTCTGGAGACGAGGGATGTATTCAATAAAGAATTCTTCGAAAGATTCTGCCATTTTGATGGCTTCCTGGTGGTACGGGATCAGGTCTTGATTCCTGACTTCATACTCACCGCGAACTTGGTTGACTATCAATTGCGAATCTCCAAAAGCTTCGAGATATTCGACCCCCAGCTCTTTGGCGAAACTGAGTCCAATGAGAAGCGCGTTGTATTCGGCAACATTATTGGAGCACGGACTAGTCAACGAATAAGCCCGAGGCATCACGTGCTTTCCAGGGGAGATTAAGACGACTCCAACTCCAGAGGAAACTGTAGGACATCCCGGGGTTATTACTCTATTAACTGCCCTTGAGGCACCATCGAAGTATAATTGCCATACTTGTTGGTGTGATGTGGTGTTAACCTCGTGGGTTTCATCCGGCAAGTCATCATATACTTCTGCCGTATCTGTGGTCGGGTTTGCCGCCAAAAGGTCACAAATCGCCTGTCCTTTTATCGACTTCTGCTGCTTGAAGTGCAAATCGTATTGGGACAAGAGAAGGGCCCACTTCGCTAGCCGCCAATTCATAGAGGCCGGTTGCGTCATAAACACCCGTACTGGATTAACGTTGGAGATAACGTAGATCGTCTGTCCCACCAGGTAATGCCGCATCTTTTGCATCGCAAATACCAATGCAAGGCATTCTTTCTCAATCATCGGATATCGAGACTCAGCGCCTACCAAGGTCCGACTGAGGTAATAAACTGCCTGTTCGTGACCGTTATCATCGTCTTGCGCTAGTAAGGCACTTATCGAGTGGTTCATCGCCTTGAGATAAATCAAGAACGGTTTACCAGATTTCGGTGCAACGAGAACAGGAGGGTTCGCCAGATATGTTTTGATATCTTCGAACGCTTTTTGGCAGGCATCATCCCAGATGAATGATACTCCTTTCTTGTTCAGCTTAGAGAACGGTTGGCACTTCCCAGAAAGATTTGAGATGAAACGCCGGATATAAGCTAAACGCCCTTGCAATCCTCTGAGTTCTCTCAGATTCCTCGGGGGCTGCAATTCATGTATCGCCTTCACCTTATCAGGATCGATATGTATACCCTTAGTGGTGACGACGAACCCAAGAAATTTTCCGCTGGACATTCCAAGAAATGATTTAGTGGGGTTCATCTTCAACTGATGACTCCTCATGAGATCGAACATTGTCTTCAAATCCTTGATGTGATCTTCCTTGTTGCGGCTTTTCACAACCAAATCATCAACGTAGCATTCGACTGTTTTCCTGAGATGTTCTTGGAAAATCTTAGTCATCGCTCGCTGGTATGTGGCACCGGCATTCTTCAGACCGAAAGGCATCACCGTATAGCAGAAGACGCCGAGGGGTGTTCTAAACGCCGTATGCTTCTCATCCTCTGGATGCATCTTGATCTGGTTATATCCCGAAAATCCATCCATGAAGGACATCCTCTCAAATCCACATGTATTGTCGATAATGACATCCGTGATTGGGAGAGGGAAATCGTCTTTCGGACATGCTTCATTCAGGTTCCTGAAGTCGATGCAAATCCTGATTTTGCCATTCTTCTTCATGACGGGAACGATGTTGGCTAACCAGTCTGGATGTTGTTCCTCTCGGATAAATCCTGATTCGATCAACTTCTTAACCTCTGCCTCAATGGCTTCCATAATCTGCGGACGAAACCGTCTTTGCTGTTGCTTGACAGGTTTGGCATCCGGCTTGATATCGAGGCGGTGCATTGCGACATTGGGGTCGAGCCCTGGCATGTCTTCATAATTCCATGCGAAGACGTCGATATATTCCCTGATGAGAGCAATCAATTCCTCCTTCTCATCTGGGGGAAGACTGTCGCTGATGAATATAGGCTTTGGGTTGGCCTCATCACCCATGTTAATCTGGACTATTTTA